TTCACACCACACAGACTAGAAATCTGCATTTCACCTGCACATTCTGTGAAAACTTGAGGCACTAGGAAAGTGCCACAAGATTTACTAGGACGTGTAAGATTTACTAAGATGATCTAAACTGAGTGGAAAACCGTTCTTGAGAAAGAGACTGATAGGTTATCTGACAGAGGTCTTTAATGTTATGAAAAGGCTTAACAGGGTGAATGTAGAGAAGTATTTCCACTTGTGAGGGAGACCAGAACTAGGAGAAACATTCGTTACCTTGAGTGTGGCTGGAACATTGAAATCACTATCACAGGATAAAGCTGCTGTGATTGGCAAAGCTGCATTTAAAAGGAAGCTCATTAAATGTATGGGGGTGAAAAAAGAGCAGGGTATGATGAAGAATGGAAGAAGACTCAACCGTATTGAAAGGGTTCAGAAAAGATTTACAAGATGTTGCCAGGATTGGAGGGTTTGACATATAGGGAGAGTCTGAATAGGCTGGGGCTATTCTCCCTGGAATGTCGGAGGCTGACGGGTGACCTCATAGAGGTTTATGAAATCATGACAGGCATGCAAACAGTGAATAGCTAAGGTCTTTTTCCCAGGGCAGAGGAGTCCAAAATTAAAGGGCATAGGTTTAAGGTGAGAGGGGAAAGATTTAAAAGGGACCTCAGGGGCAACATTTTCATGCAGAGGGTGGTGCATGCATGGAAAGAGCTGCCAGAGGATGTGGTGGAGGCTGGTACAATTACAAGATTTAAAAGTTATCAGGATGAATATATTTATAGGAAGGGTTTAGAGGGACATAGGCCAAATGCTGGCAAATTTAGGATATAGAACATAGAACAGTACAGCACAGTACAGGCCCTTCGGCCCACGATGTTGTGCCGACCTATTATCCTACTAAGATCAATTTACCTCGCATAGCCTACATTTTACTATCCTCCACGTGCCTATCAAGAGTTGCTTAAAAGTCTCTACTCCCACTGCTGGCAGCGCATTCCACATGCCAACCACTCTCTGTGTGAAGAACCTACCTCTGACATCTCCCCTATACCTTCCTCCAATCATCTTAAAATTATGTCCCCTCATAATAGTCATTTCCGCCAGCATGGACAACCTATATCAACCAATTCTGATATCTGATTAGCATGGACAAATTGGGCCAAAGAATCTGTTTCTGTGCTGGAAAACTCTATGACTATATCTATCAGCAGTGACCTGTGAGTAAATGGCTTGTACATGTGATGTAAATATCATATAAACTAACTGCTGCTGATTCCGAGTTTATGCCTCCTTCTTCAGACTCACCGGACTCGAAACGTTAACTCTGTTTTCTCTCCACAGATGCTGCCAAACCTGGTGCGTTTCTCCAGCAATTTCTGCTTTTGTTTCAGATCTCCAGCATCCGCAGTTCTTTGGTTTAGTTCTGGTTAATTTAGTAAAGGCATCTGTGGAATTGTTAATTTGTTTGCTTTCATTTTTTGTAGGTTAAGGGTCCTGGTATGGAGCAATAGGAATTTCAAAAGGAAGAGATCTAGTTCTATCAATGACCACATTTTTGCCACATGTGATAGCAGCAGTTAGTATCGGTGGATGCAATGCTAACACATTGAGAATCTGCATCACAAAAACATCACTCTTCCTGGTCTTGGTGTTAATTTAGAAAGAGCAAAATTTTCAGAATCCAAGCTGATTGATATCTCCAAGGTGACACATAACCCAATGGAGGAAGAAAACAAAGATTGTTTTATCCCAATAGAAAAGGCTAGGGGGCATTTTTTGTTTGTGGTTAGAAATGATGACAAGAATTGGGCAACTTCAGTCTATGCTCAGCAGGCTGTTAAAAAACTAAAAGAAAATGGCCAAGAGAATTAGGAGCTTATTACTTACCCTACAATGGACATCTCCTCGAGCCCTCATATTTTCCATTTTGCTATGCCTGTCTTCATCATTTGGTGGGTCAGTCTGTGATATGGCGAGGAAAATGAAGCCACATGCCCTGGTAGAGATAGAGCTGTGGCCAAATATCCAGTCATTTCCATGAAAACATGTCAAACATCAGAAAAAATTGTGAAACTGTTCTGTGTTTGCTCCACAAAATTAGCAAAAAATTGCATTCTTTCAGATTTACCTTAATCCAGTTTAATTGATCGTTACCTTTCATAACAGTTTTCCCCAATTTGTAGTTAATTGTGATTTACTCAGAATTTAAATGTGCAAAATGTCGTTTTGCTGTGCAGAAACTTGAAAGTTGTCACTTATTTTGCTCCAAACGTCTTATTGCTTTTACCTGCCAGTTACATTTAGTAATTTTGAACAATATTTTAATTGGATGAGACTTCCGTCTGTCACCTATCCATTCCAGTAACTTACCCAGATAGTTTTGAGGTTCCATACTATCCTCATGGTTTTTGATGCTTTCAAGCTTTGTATCATCCACAATTTTGAAATTGTAGTAGGTGCACAAAGACCCGAGTCATTGATATACATCAGTAAAAGCAAGGGACATAACAGCAATGTCTTGTACCTTCCTCCAGCGTGAAGGACATCCATTAGTGACTAATATAATCAGCTAATTCAGTTCTCATGTTGCTAGTGACCCTTTTATCCCCTGAACTGCAACTTTGCCCACGTTTTATGTAGCACTGTACACCATATCAACAGCTTTATCCTTGTCAACGCTGTCTGTTACACCCTCAAAATACTCCAGCAAGTTCATTGAACATGATTTTCCTCAAATACATGCTGGCTTCATTTAATTCAGCCATATTATATTCTGATAAATTATTTAGAAGTTTCGCTATCAATTAAGTTAAATCAGAACGACCTGTGGCTATTGGATTTACCTTTACAACCTTTTTTTGACTGATGACATAATACTTGCACTTCTCTAGTCCTCTTGTACCATCCCGAACAAAGACTGAAAAATCATGGCCAGCATCTGTAAGGTATTCAATCTCAATCTCACTGCTCTCACATATTTGGATGCATCCCATCAGGTCCCAGCACCTTAAACATTTAACCACAGAAAGCCTATTCTATAGCGATTATAGGAACTGCAGATGCTGGAGAATCTGAGATAACAAGGTGGCTTCACAGTGGGGTTAAAATTGTTTCAGAGATAGTAGGAACTGCAGATGGGCTTCGCAGTGGGGTTAAAATTGTTTCAGAGATAGTAGGAACTGCAGATGCAGTTCCTTTTCTGAAGACGGGTCTAGGCCTGAAACGTCAGCTTTCCTGCTCCTCTGATGCTGCTTGGCCTGCTGTGTTCATCCAGCTCCAAGCCTATTCTATACATTTTTCTTAAAAATTATAAATTATTCTCATGATTAAATTTCTCTATCCCCATGGCTTGGACAGCATAAGACCTCAGTTATGCTGCTGTGTTGATTTTTAAACCCCCTTTTTGGTTTCCGATCTGACCTATTTTTCTGTTAACTACCTATAGATTTGAGGGTTTTCTTTAATGTTGGCTGCTAGTCTCTTTTCATACTCTCCTCTTAATTTCTCTTACTTGCTTTCTCAGATCCCCTCTGAAGTTATGTTCAGCTTTATTCTCAATTGTATTTAGGTTTAAATTTATTTATTCATCACATGTAATGTATAAGTACAGGAATATATAAGTACAGCGACCTGGTTACAAAAAACAGAATTAAAAGATTTTAACAGAGCCAAAAGGTAAGCAAGAAAAAAAGAAAAGTCCAGATCTTAGAGTCCCAAGTACCATCTCCATAATGGTGCATGCACCGTTCCAAACGCTAGGACACCCTGGGTGTCCTATTTGATGTTGGTCGTTCCTGATGAATCACAGCCGCCTACCACTTTCAGCTCCACAACAGGACTTTCACCACTTACTAAAATTGCAATCCACATATAGAATGATTATATTCAAGGATGGGGATGCAGCGTAAGAAAATATGTAGCTGACAAACATTAATGCAAATATCTCAGAACAAAACAGACAGGTTTGAGAGCCTCAAATAATGAAATTTCAAAAATTCAAGTATTAAGACAACTAGAAAGGTGAGTGAACAGGACAAGATAGAATTATGTAAACTATCAAATGAGAAGTTAAAAGAACATAACTTCAAGACAAACTACCTGAAAAAGATAACAGGCAACAATTCACATTTCTGAAAAGATAATTGTGGATTGATGCGGGGAGCAATTTGTTCAACCCAAGACAAATTAAATCTTAGATTTGACTTTAAATCAGGGTGTGGTTGACTCAAACAATATTCAACATACAGTTGGATATTTTGAAAGATGTGTCAGAATTTCCTTCAGAGAGAGCGTGAAGCATGGATTTGAGACGAGGAGAGATGGGGTGAAGGGAGACAAGTAATGGAACTCGGGAATGGGGGTTTAAAACAAGACTGGACTGGGGAAGGAAAGTGAGTGTTGCATGGGTTTGTAAGAAAAATATTTTAACTTTCAATGTCACCCATTGCAATGGGATAAAAAAAATCAGACTTGAATTTTTTGAGGAGGGGCAGGAGTTTGAGAAGGCATTGGGAGGAAATGGGGATGAATGGGAAAATTGAGGAGGTATGGGGTGAGGAGGGAATTTGAATGATGCAGAAGTTTTCTAATAGCCAATTTAATAAAGAAATTTCTTCAGTTTCCTATCCAAACTTTAGCAGAGCTTCAGCAAACTTTTCAGCAGAGTCTCCCATCCCACCTCATATACAATAACTGTCCAGCCTGATTGAAGAATCTAGATTTTTTTGTGTTTATCAGCAGCAGAAAGGATCCCAGAGGAATGAGGCTTCATTGTAGATTTCGACACCATATCTTCTTTACCCTGTAGAAGTCAATCTGGAGGCATAGGGGTCTTCCACAGCTTGTTAGTTGGTGGTTCAGCTAAACAGTCTCAAGCCGTCGACCCTGGAGGTTGATCTATTCTTTGGTTGTTGTGCACTTCTAACAAAGTCAATATAGACTATAGGAGAAAAAAAAATTCTAAAACATAAGACGCAAGGCATCATGGACAGGGAACATGTAAACAAAGATTTTTTAAAAATCACATTTATTGATGAAAGAAAGGGAGAGAAAATTCATCTGTTAGGCTTCAAACAATATATACTGGTGAATATTTTACATTGAATGCTATTCAGCTGGGAGGGGGTTTTCTGTTTCTAAATTCTCCAGTTCATGATTTTACATTCATTCATGTTAAATTGATAAAAAGCTAATGGTATTTACCAATCCCTAATATTTAGTTTCAAAACTTCAAGGACCAACACTGAAATTCTGTTTATCCTGAGGCACTTGAGAAATGGCATTCATACAGAAAATCTTGCATTTAATTCAAAAATTGTTTCGCTCTATAAAATTTTACTCAGTCAAATGTCATTGCTAAAGTATAAGTAGCAGTTAAAAATTACGGCGGAGCTTTGGAATTCAGTAAGTAACAAATACAATTTTTGCATTGCAAAACAATATTTAAAACATATTTAAATGTGGAGTAAAATACAATTATATAAAAAGAAATCTGTTTTGCTAACTTATGACAAATTAACTTGGATTAATGTAAATCCAAAAAACACAATTTATTTGCTAACTTTGGAATGTGAAGACTGAATAGTTTCACCACTAGTTCTGAAGTTCAAGATGTTTTCGTAGAAATGACTGGATCTTTGGCCACAGATCTATCTGTGCCAGTGCATGTGGCTTCATTGTCCCTCCCCATACCACAGGCTGTCCCACCAACCGATGAAAAGAAGCATAGCAAAATGGAAAATATGAGGGCTCCAGGAGATGTCCAGCCTCAGGATAAGTAATAAGTTCATAATTTGTTTTGCCATTTTCTTCCAGTTTTTCAACAGCCTGCTGAGCATAGAGTGGAGTTCTCCAATTCTTGTCATCTTCTCCAACCGCAAAGAAAAAGTGCCCCTCAGCCTTTTCAACTGGGATAACACAATCTTTGTTTTCTTCCTCCATTGGGTTATTTGTCACCTCAGAGATATCAATCAGCTTGGATTCTAAAAATTTGACTCTTTCTAAAGTAACACCGAGACCAGGAAGAGTGATGTTTTTGTAGTGCAGGTTCCCCAATGTGTTAGCATTGCATCCACCAATACTAACTGCTGCTATCACATGTTGCAAAAATGTGGTCATTGATAGAACTAGATCTCCTCCTTTTGAAATTCCTATTGCTCCAACTCCTGGACCCTTAACCTGGTAATAAAGTGAATAAAATGATGAAACTGTATGGTTTATGCTTATACTAATTTAGTAAAACTAATCTCCTTAGACAAATCCTACCAAACTCAGACCATCTCCATTGTTGAGGACAAGCACAGCAGATATGTGAAGACAGTACCACCTGCAAGGTCCTTCCAAGCCGTTCACCATCCTGACTTGGAAATAAATTGGTATTCCTTCGGAGTTGCGGTGTCAAAATCCCTCCCCAATGGCATTGTGGGTCTACCTACAGCACATGGACTGCAACAGTTCAAGGAGGCAGATCATCACCACCAAGGGCTACTACAGACAATCAATAGTTGCTGTGCCAAGTCATTAGGGCCCATGAATAAATAGAAGAAAAATTTAGTTACATCCATTTATTCTTTGCCTTGCATAAAATTAGGTTATATGCATGAGAAACTGAAAAGCCTTCTCCTGCACTTATGCTTTATATTGACATTACAGGTGTATTGCAATTGCATTTAAGACAGCAAGCAAACTTTTCAACTTCCAAATCAATAAAGATTGCAAAACATTTACCTTGTCTCAATGCTTGCTTTGCTCTTACTTGAGTCCTGTGCTTTCTACATATCCAAGCTAAATAATTTTCTTAAAATTTTTTAAAATTCATTTGCAGAAAGTTGGCATCACTGGCTGGCCAGCATTTATTGCCTGTTCCTAGTTGCCCTTAAGAAGGTGGCGATGAGCTGCCTTCTTGAACCGCTGCAGTTTACGTGCTGTGTTGAGAACCCACAATGCTGTTATAGGAAGGGATGTTCCAGGATTTTTCCCCAATGACAGTGAAGGAAGGCGAAATATTTCGACTCAGAATGGTGAACAACTTGGACAAGGACTTGCAGGTAGTGATATTCCCGAGTATCTGCTGCTCTTGTTCTTCAAGATGGAAGTGGTTGTAAGTTTCGAAGGTGCTATCTAAGGATCTTTGGTGAATTTCTACATTCAAAATGTTCATTCTTTAAGAATTATCAAGTCTCTCTCAATCATTTCTCCTTTCATAAAAATAAATTCAATTTTGTAAACTACATATTCTAAAGTGTTAAATCCTGTATCTCCTCCTTTTGCTGTTTCTAGTGTTTTTTAATATCATTTTAAAAAGCATAACATTTAGAATTTTGCCAAGTATAACAAACCATATTTGGATAACACGTTGTTAAATATCTGTGTACTGAACAGACATGCCACTCTTTATAAAAAGGATACCCTTCATCATACTGTTATGTAGTTTCACATTAAATGCAATAACAGTCATCATCTCAACTAGTCTTTGTGGTAATGGTTTCAACATTCAAACCAATTTGTCTTAAAGTTCTAGAATTTGGCTTAAGGGGTTTTTCATTTATGCCTTTCCTTGGAAAGTTTGACTGTGAAGATGCTATTGGAATGGGTGGGTGAAATGATAGATATAGGCTGTATTGTTTCTGAAGAGGATATCTTATAGACCCGTGGTCATCTTCTCTACTTCTACATAAATTATTTTGTAAAACTATTTTCTAAATGGATAAAGAGCATCTTACCTTTGGATGGCTTCTCAAGAAGTTCACAGCTTCTTCAAAATATTCCAGATCAAGATTTGTAAAATCCTTTGGGAGGTCATCAAAGCTCAAATACCCTAAAGCCAGTGTCAGAAATCCATGGTTTGCCAAGAGACTAGCTCGGTGCTCAACTATCCCACCAACTGACCCGTACAGATCAACGATCCCTGGAAATGGACCATCACCTGTAAAATTCAAACATGTAAAGTAGATTGCAAACCAAAAGGTGCCATAAAAATAACTTTCTAAGCAAATTGAACGTTTCTTTAAACTCATTATTCAAAGACTTGGAACTTGTACTTATATAAACTGTCAACTATGTCAAAGCACTTCAGAAAGGGGTATGAGAGTGTATACTAAGTGAAAAGTGGACAACGAAGGAGATGTCAGAAAATGTGATTAAAAGTTTGGTCAGAGGTAGGTTTTAAAGAGCATTTTCAAAGGAGCAGACAACTGAAGAAGTTTAAGGAAGAACTTGAAGAGCTTATGGCCTAGATGTTAAAGGCATAACCACCACTTGTAGGTGAAGGAATGGTTGGTGTGCATTTGGACAACAGTCCAGGTTACGAATGAAGAATTCTTAATGGTTGTGGAGCCAGAGCATTTGAGAAAGAAACTGAGAATGTGAGACCACAGAGGGATTTGAATGAGAACTGAGAATTTTATAAAAGGGCATTCAGGATATATAGCCAATGAAGTCAGTGAGCACAGGGTGATGATGAATGGCACCTGGTGTAGGTTAGAATTCAGGTAGCAGACTTGCTATGAATTCAAGGTTATGGCAGATGCAACATAAGTTGCTGTGCATGAGTTAGTTTTGAAGTTACATCTTGCAAAATCTAAGACATTGGAGCAGAACAGATGACAATGTTAGAGACGGAAGATGGAAGTGATGCAAGATCAAGTTAGTTATTGGCTGAATTGAACAGTGAAGTTACAATCATGTTGATCAAACCTGAGACAATGGCCATTGGCCAATGGACAATGACCAGCAGTTCTGAGGAAAGGTCACCGGACCGAAACATTAACTCTGATTTTTTTCTTCACAGATGCTGCCAGACCTGCTGAGCTTTTCCAATAACTTCTGTTTTAGTTCCTGATTTACAGCATCTGCAGTTTCTGGTTTTTACTGAGACAATGGCCATTGTGCAATTACATAATGGATAAGGGTGCAAAGGACTTTGCAGCAGTGGCTGGACACAATGGCTTTAGTCTTACAATCTTTAATTGGAAAATATTCTGTCTTATTCAGACCTGGAGTTTTTAAACACTAAGGCAGTACACAGGACTAGAGAGGTGAAGGTAATATTACACCAGGTGGTATCAGCACACATGCAGATTCACAGAATTTGCAACAGGATTGACAATGAAACCATTTGTCTTCATTACTCCAATGACTGACAGAAATGGCATGCATAGAAAAACAAAACTTGCTGTCAGTAATTCAATGCTGTTCAAGTATGTCCAATTTCTAGTTTATTTTATTACCCTCTACGGGCTTCCTCACAAGTGGAAAGTCTGATTTAGGAGTCTACAGAATTGGGATGTCACTTTTGGTGCTGGAAGAAACTTCTGCAGCTGCACCACTTCTGGCCTTTCTCTGGGCACCTTAGATGTTGAGTTTGGCACAGGAAGTTCTCAAATCATGCTGAAACAAATTTCAATGCTTGCTTGGCTGCTGTGCTTTCTCAAGCATGGTGTGGTGCAGAATTGAGTGAGAATTTTTTTGGGTGATTTAGATCTTTTGAAATTGCATCCTTACTGTAACTTACACTGAGATAGTTCCCAATTGAAGATCTTGACAATTCTATAATCATCCTTGCAAGAGACATGGCCTATCAACCTATGTTGATTTTTCAGCAGGATGGTCTTCATGCTTTTGAGTCCAGAATGATGAAGTGTCCCTATGTTTATACCATTGAATTTATGCCTCATTGCCTTGATATTTAACTTTCAGGATGGGCGTCAGGTGTCTTTGTTGGAACAGTTCCACAGCTTTCATCCAGCATCTATAGCAGAACCAGGATTCCCTGCTATGTAGCAGGGTGGTAAGGTCTGCAGGCTGGTAGAGTTTGATTTTAATGTTCAGCTTAAGACAATGCTGTTTCTGGACAAAATGATCAGAAAGTTGACTGTTGATAGAATTTATTGTGGTAGCCCCAGGGAACACATTACCAAATGTAATAATCTTTCTACAGCCTCAAGTTTCTCCAGCAGATGCGCTGTTAAAGAAAATTATGTCTATAGAAAGCAAATGAACAAGACTTTCATCTTTAGGCTTTATTGAACAAGGGACAAATGAGTGTTTAAACAGTGTACTCTGTTCATCAATAACTAATGAATAGTCTCACTGCCCTGAAGAGGCTATTAATTTTATGGAAGATCAAATTTTCCATACTGATAAAACAAAATTACCCAATTTAAACAGATTTTGATTGAGTGACAGCAAAGGAACAGCAACATATGGGGGACTTGGCAGGAAACTTGCAGATAGTGGTGGCTGTAGTTAAGGTCACAGGTTTCACAAATGCTGTCACAGCAGTTTGTTTGAGTTGCTGTAACATGCCATTTTGGAGGAGTGGTGGAGCTTCGAGTGTTGTTGGAGCTAAACTCATTCAAGCAAATGAGCAGTATTTACACTCCTTGCTTGTGCCTCAAAGATGTTGGACAGGCTTTCAGGAGTTAAGAAACAAGTTACTTCCTACAGGATTCCCAGGTTCTGATCTGCCCTAATTGACTTATAGGCATTTAAGGTACAGAAGGAGGCTGTTCAGTCCATCGGCCAGTCTACAAAGATCTGACTACACAAATCCCATTTTAGCCTTGGCTTATAGCCCTGGTGGCCACAGCAACACAAATGAATATTAGATACTGTTTGAAGGTTAAGTGAGTTTCTGACTCATTCATCCTTCCAGGCAATGGGTTTCAGACTCCCACCATCCTTTGGATGAAAAAAAAACTCAACTCTCCTCAGCCTTCTACGTCTTACAATAAATTCATGCCTCCCTGGTTATTGACACCTCTACTATAGACAGTCCTCAGGTTGTGACCTAATCAGTCTTTTTACACAGTTCCAAAATAACCTCCCTACTTTTGATTTCTATGCCTTTGCATTTCTATCCCATTTGCCTTAACCACTTTATTGACTTGCCTTGCTAACTTACGGAGTCATAAAGTTGTACAGCAGAGAAACAGACCCTTCAGCCAAACTCGTCCATCCCAGCCAGATATCCTAAACTGATCTAGTCCTATATACAGCATTTGGCCTATTTCCCTCTAAATCCTTCCCATTCATGTACCCATCCAGTTGCCTTTCAAATGTTGCAATTGTACCCGCCTCCACCATTTCCTCTCGCAGCTCGTCCCATCCAGCACCAAACCCTGCGTGAAAAAGTTACTGCTTAGCTCCCTTTCAAATCTTTCCCCCCTCATCTTAAACTTATGCTCTTTAGTTTTGGACTCACCCACCCTAGGAAAAAGACCTTGGCTAATCACTCTATCAATGCCCCTCATGATTTTATAAACTTCTATAAGGTCACCCCTCAACCTCCGATGCTCCATGGAAAAAAGCCCCAGTCTATTCAGCCTCTTCTTATAACTCAAACCAGTGAATACTGGCAACACCCCTGTAAATCTTTTCTGAACCCTTTCATTTTTAACAACATACTTCTTGCAGCAGTATTCTAAAAGTGGTCTCATCAATGTTCTGCACAACCGCAACATAACATCACAACTCCTATACTCAAAGCACTGACCAATAAAGGCAAGTGTGCCAAAATGCCTTCTTCACCACCCTGTCTACCTGCGACTCTACTTTCAAGGAACTATGCACCTGCACCCCTAAGTCTCTTTGTTCGGCAACACACCCCAGGGCCCTACAATTAAGTGTATAAGTCCTGCGCTGATTTGCCTTATCAAAATGTAACACCTCACATTTATGTAAATTAACTCCATCTGCCACTCCTCAGCCCATTGGTTCATCTGATCAAGGTTCCGTTGTACTTGGAGATAACCTTCTTCGCTGTCCACTGTGCCACCAAATTTGGTGTCATCTACAAACCTACTAACAACACCTCCTACATTCACATCCAAATCATTTATATAAATGATGAAAAGCAGCAGACCCAGCACTGAACTTCGCATTACACCACTGGTCACTGGTCTCTAGTCCGAAAATCAATTCTCCTCTACCACCCTCTGTCTCTAGCCTTTAAGCCAAATTTTGTATCCAATTAGCTAGCTTCCCCGGATTCCATGTGATCTAACCCTGCCAACCAACTTCAGAGATCTGTGAATATGCACACCAAGGTCCCTCTCATCTTCAGTACTTTCCAGGATCCGACCATTCATAGTGTAATTCCTGGTCTCGTTAGACCTCTTAAAGTACATTACTTCACACTTTTCTGAATTAATTCCAGTTGCTTTCACTTTAACTGCCTGACAGTCTGTTGACATTCTCTGGATATCCTTTTCACTAATTACCTTGCTACCAATTCTTATGTCATACCCTTAAATTTAAGTTTAAAATCATTAATATATGCCATAAAGAACAAGGGCCCCAACACAGAGTCCTGTAGAACCCAAAGGAAACAGACTTCAGTCACACAAATATCCCACTGGGATCACCCTCTGCTTCTTGCCTCACAGCCAATTTTGGATCCACTGTGCCAGGTCCTTGCTATCTCCTCTCTTGCCTCCCTCAACAGCCTGTGATACATCTCATTCAGGTCTGTATATTTAAGCACTTTTATAGCTGCAAAACCAATGAGTACTTCCTCTATGTTAATTTAAGTCAGCTTTAAACAAATAGAAAATGCTGGAGAAACTCAGCAAGTCTGGTAGCGTTTGTGGAGAGAGAAACAGAGTTAATGTTTCCAAGTCCAATATGACTTTTCAGAATTTATGCAGTACTTTGCTTCTAACTAGTCAGTGTTTATATGGCTGATCCAGTTAAATTTCTGGTCAGTGGTAACATCCAAGATGTTGATTATAGCGAAATTCAGCTTTGGTAATACTGTTGAATGTGAAGGAAACATATGCATTGTTTGACACTTTTGTGACAGAAGTATTACTTGCCTTTTATTAGCCCAAGTTGATGTTACGGATGAATTGCCTCAAGATGGCTGACTGCAGGATATTCCCCTGAAGAACTGCAAAAAGACTCAGGGGCTGAGATTAATGGCCTCCAACATCCAGAACCATTTTACTTCTTGGGAGGTGTTATCAAGGCAGCACCATATGTGCCATAAACCCAATTCCTGATGTTCTGAGCAGTTACTCCTACTTCAGTTCTTAAGAACGGTCACTGGGCTGGAAACATTAATTTTGCTTTCTCTCCACAGATGCTACCAGACCTGCTGAGCTTTTCCAGCAACTTCTGTTTTTGTTTCTAATTTCCAGCATCTGTACTTTTGTATTTTTAACTCTATTTCATCTCTAGAATGCAGTTCTTCTGAAGCTATTTCACCAAGACTACCTTGACTTCTGGAGCTGAGTAGTCCAAATGGAACCCAACTGAGCAGGTTATTACTATGCAATTGGAACTTGATAGCACAATTGACAGCAGCTGCCATCCCTTATCTAATGTTTGAGAGTAGACGGATGTGTTGAAAATTAGCCAATTTGGATATGTCCTGTTCAGTGGAGAGTACATATCAGGGCAATCTTCCACATTGGCATTTGACAATGTTGTAACTCTATTACACAGTTCAGGCACTGAACTGCCTTAGTTGTCATTACTTCTCGGTAAATTCAAAATTAGTAAAACTAAAAGCAATCCTCATCCATAAGCTGAACAATCAAGACCAAACGTTAATGTAAATACTGTTCTGTGTTAAACAATAATTTCAAGTCAGCCAGCATTCTGGATAGAAACAAACAGGAATAGACAACAAAGGAAAACCACATGGAGCCAAGTAAACAACCATCGAAAGATTTGCACAGATGCAAAGAACATGAGCCTCAAACCTCGGGGGCTACGCAAGATCTGCTGTCTCACCGGGTG